CACTGTTGCCAGCTTGTTAGTTTTCACCTGTAAGTCTTCGAGTTTGTGGGACATACGAAAAAAATCATTTACGCGCGAAATCCAGATCTTCTAGAGTCTTCCTATCTGTTCAACGTAACTGCAGTAATCGTGCTCTCCGCAATATTCTGCATGACCCCATCCACCAGAATCAGGAATATTATTGTCGTAGTGTAACGGTAGAAGACGAGAGACTTGTTAATGGATGTCTATTTGCTGCATATTGCATGGAGGATTTTATCGTGAGCTGACTTCAGCTAGAGAACCACTGGAAAACCTGGGAGTACTGGACAGTCGGCTGTTTCGTCCTACTTTGGGACTCTTCATCAGTACGCACTCACAAACAGGGTTTCGAACCCAGGACCATCTGGTTACAACGCTAGCGAGCTCGTAGACCATTGAGCCACTGGGACCCGGCTATCCAATGGTCCTTGAATTCTAACTTCTGCCAGCCAATTCATGATGTAGCGCGATGTCTTCTTCGATGAGTTACTGCCTCATTTTCAACCTGCTGTACCCTACTGGTCACGGCTTCCCACTAGAATCCCAGGTCACTGGCCTGAACAGGGCCAGGGTCTACGAGCTCGCCTTGTAACCAGAAGGTCCTGGGTTCGACCCACTGACGTGGGTGCGTACTGCAGAAACAGCTGACTGTCCAGTACTCCCTGGCAGGTTTTCCAGTGGTTCTCTAACTCATAATGTCAACTCATAATGAAATCCTCCATGCAATCAAACGAAAATCCCTACAAAATTAATACCTAAATATTTGAAAATTGGTATCTCTATATAACCAAATTATGTACACCTAATCTGCAACGCCGTACTATTTGCACTGATCTTCCGTGTTGTGGTACTTTTGGACTTGATGTTGTGTTTCTTTGTGTCCCTTTCACATCTCTCATATATCTCTCCACAACGTTGTATCATTTGCCTTCTCTGGAGTTTAAATGTATCTACCTGCCATTCAGTGGTCAAACCAAAACATGGCTTCATCAGTCAGCGAAATCCACAACAGTTAGCTTAAACCAAGCACGTAGGGAGATGTAGAATTCCTAGTTGTTTGGGGGGTCCTCGGGATTGTAAAAACCAGTAACAATGGCTGGAGACAATTGGCGAAATGGCTCAAAATCGTTCTCAATACCTAGCACAGATGCATCCACTCCTTGTGACTTATAATATCCAATAAAACTATATTGTTCTTCGATATGACTATTCCTTTTGCATCATACCTCTGTTTACTGTCTCTATTTTGCGTTCCTTTTTACTTTCTTCGCTTGCTTTGTGTGGTACATGGAGGGAGAGTGATAAGTGGAACTGGTGCACATCAGTGCGAAGTTCTATATTGAAACCAGTCAATCATTCGATGTTTTTATCCCGATGAACGTCTCTGTACTCGCCACGGTAGTACTGAGTCAGTTTCAAGATTATAATTAAATAGTGAAGCCTTATCGAAGGCTTTTTCAAAATCACTACAGTTATAGCAGATATTAGACTGTCATTCTATGCTCTGTTCGACGATGATCAGCAGATGACTTGCTTTTTTCCTGAACCCAGTTTGTTACATTTGTGACAGGAAGACTGTCTATCTGTCTGTTTTCGACATAGAACTTTACACAAATGTGCGGAAGTTCAAGTCGCCACATTCCGTGTAGCACGCGAAGCAAGAGAAGAAAGTACAAGAAAAGCATAATAGATACAGTGAGCAGAGGTGTGAGACAAAGGAGTAATAAAGAAAAACAAAACAGTTTCATTGGAGATCATATGTCACAAGGAGTGGATGCATCTGCGCCAGCCACTGAGAACGATTTTGAGCTAGCCATGTCACCAATTGTTTCCAACCATAGATTTTTACCGTTCCGAGGACCCCAGCCTGGAAGTCTACACCTTCCTACGTGGCTGGCTTAGACCAACTGTTGTGGATTTCATTGACTGGTGAAGCCAAGTTTTTGTTTGACCGCCGCTAGCTTTTTTCCAGCCTGACCCTATATCCGCTAACATTGCTCACTGTCGAGGGAGGCGATAGCTTGGCATACGTAACACATGTTCTAACCATCTCAGTCTTTGTAGCTTCACGACTTCGTCGATTGATTTCCCCTGTTTACCTTGAACTCGACGCCTAACCTCCATGTTGCTCACCTTATTATGTCACTTTACACGGGAAATAGAGCGCAGGCACCTATGATCAAAGACAGCTAGTCTTTTCATGTCTTCCACTTTCAGTGGCCAGGTCTCACAGCCAACCATAAAGGAGGACGGAGCGGACTGATGAGCAGTACACCCGCCCTTTGGTCGATAGCCGAACATCTCGTCTACGCCAGAGACGGCGTAAACTGACATATGCGAAACGAGCCCCCTGTATTCGTGCTGAGATTTCGTCAGAGATCAACCCGTTGGCGCTGGCTGATGGTACTTCCCAAATAAGTGAAGCGGTCAACGTGCTCCACCAACCACTTCACTTCCTATTTCTAATCTAGGAGTCGGTGTAGTCCAGTCCTGTAACATCATCTTGCATTTGGCGGGAGCGAATCGCATGCCAAACATTCGTAGATTGCGGCTCAAGGTGTTCAGAAGACTCTGCATTTCGTCAGCGTCTTCGCCTAGAAGGACTATATCGTCTGCATATTCCAAGTCAACGAGATTATTCCCCGGTAGCAAGTCAATCCCTGAGTCACTGAAGTCACCTAGGGTTAAGTCCATTAACACATCTATGATGAAGTTGAATAGAAAAGGAGATAATGGGCATCTTTGACGGACACCACTGGTCGTCATCAGTTCAGATGACAGCTCGCCGTAAGCCCTCACCTGGCTGTATGAGTACGAATAGAGTGCCTTAATCAGTGCAATATATTTTCTCGGAATTCCCTTTACAGCCAAGCATCTCATCTTGTCTATATAATTAATTTGATAATTTTTCCTTCACGTACCCAGTGGAACATAGGGCTTCAAGTTAGAGACTTGAAGTTTCTGTAGCAGTGTTTTAAATTTTTACAGAATGGGGTTGCTAGCCTTACCTGGGCCAATTTTTCCTCTTTACTACCATTATTTCTGGCTTAGCGAAGTAAGGGATCGAACCCCGGATCATGTTCATAGTCGGCGAGCATCCTAACCGCTGTGCCACCGACGCACATCTTGTTTATATAATCACTCTTATCCATGTAAACTGTATCGGAGACTTTATTTGATCTAGTTATGATTAGATTTCCATTCTTTTCTGATCTAATACAATACCTATTGAATTGAATCTTCGGTCCAATCAATCGACGGGAAAATCAAAAAAATATCCAATTCAATAATTAATATGACTCGTTGCACAAGAGGTGGCTCTCGTGGCCCAAGTGGTCTAGTGGATAACGCTTTGGCGTTCGAAACTATGGGCACTGGGTTCGAGCCTCGGTGGGAACATCATCACTCGCTGAGAAATGCAGGTACACCCAACTGACGAGTCCCAAGTAGGACGAAATGCGCATCCTGGATTCCACTGCTAGCCACCATCCACCAATTGTATACTAATACAATACCTCTCGATGTTTGGTTGGTTCTTAAAGGGATACCACCACCCCTACCAGGAAGGCATCAATCCAAGTATATTTACATCTCTTGATAAGTCATATGATGGAATTAAATCATCTGTCTGACTAAAGAGAATTTTCGAATTGGACATCAGTCTCTAAGAGTATTAATATTAACCAAACTATGCCTGTCATATTCACCTCTCTACCATATCAAAATCACTGATTACAACTCTTCGCCCCCCACCTCTCCAACACCTTAAAGCTGATATCACTTGTCGATAATAAATTCATAATAACATGCCATTCAATTAATTAATCGCATATTCCTATTTATTACTATATATATATCAGAACTAATTCACTGAATGACTGTTATTCTATCTGTCTGTTAAACTTGTCACTCTCCCCCTATGTAGCACACAAAGCAAGAGAAGAAAGTAAGAAGAAATGCAAAATAGAGACAGTAAACAGATATAGGAGGCAAAATGGATAGCCACAAGGAATGGATGAATCTGTGCCAGCCATTGAGAACGAGGATTTTGAGCCATATCACCAATTGTCTCCAGCTGACATTGGTTTCTACCGTCCCAAGGACCCCAACCAGTCAGCAGGTCTACACCTCCCTACGTGACTGGTTTAAATTAACTGTTGTGGATTTCATTGATTGATGAGGCAACGTTTTCGTTTCACCGCCCATCTCTAGTTTTCTCTTTCCCAACCCGACCAATCCTATGTCAGGTATCTAATATTACCCGTCGTCGAGGTAGGCGATGGTTAGGCATGCATGCCTAACACATGTCCTAACCATTTCAGTCGATGTAGTTGCACAGTCTTATTGATTGATTTCCCCTCATCACCACCTAGCACTCGACCAATGGCTAACCTAAATATTGCTCACTTTATTATACCACTTCACACGGAAGATAGAACGCAGGCACATATGATCAAAGACAGCTAACCGGTCTTCTCGTGTCCTCTACTCTCAATGGCCAGGTCTCACAGCCAACCATAAAGAAGAACGGAGCGAACTGCCGAGCAATACACACGCCCTTCGGTCGACAACCAGCCGGATATCACGTCTACGCTAGAGACGGCGTAAGCTGGCCTTATGTATCCGTTCTGAGATTTTGTCAGCAATCAGCCCGTTGGTCAACACGCTCTAACAATTCACTCCATATTTCTAAACTATGAGTCAGTGTAGTCCAGTCAGTCCTGTAACATCAGCTTACATTTGGCGGTAGAGAATCGCATGCCAAAAATTCGTAGATTTCAGCTCAAGGTGTTCAGAAGATTCTGCATTTTGTCAGCGTCTTCACCTCACCTAGGAGGACTATATCATCTGCATATTCTAATTTTAACGAGATCATCCCTTGGTTGGTAACAAGTCAATCAATCCCTGAGTCGCTGGAGTCATCACTTAGGGTTAAACCCATTAGTGTATACACATCTATGATCAAATTGAATAGAAATGGGGATAGTGGTGGGCATCCCTTGTGACGGACACCCCTAGTTGTCATCACTTCATATAACAACTCACTGTAAGCGCTCTCACCTGGCCGGATATGCATGAGTTCGAGTAGAGTGAGAGTGCCTTGATCAGTGCAGTGTATTTTCTCAGAGCTCCCTTTAACAGTCAGGCATCTCCAGTACTTCAGTCCAATCAAATTGGATTAAATCCAAAAAGGGAACCACCAGTGTGTTCAAACCAAACCAAACCAAAATAAAATTTAATTCGAACAACACACACACAACAAACAGCTCAATACCCCTAACAAAAAACCAACCAAAAATTACAAATTTATATGAATAAGCAATGAAAACAAGGCAAATAAATGATATGAGTCATAATCAACATTACCACACACACATATACACACAGGATAGGATCAAAAAAATATAAATAAAAAATAATCAAAGCGAGAACAAAAACAAACAAAAAAGAATCATGAAAGCAGCTAAATAACACGGTGGGGGGTGGGAAAGACGATCTATAGGGAAACAGGATCATGAACACATTTGGGTGTATTGGTGTATAGCAGAGAAATGCGCAAGTAGAATACCACTACTACTGGTTATTGTAAATTGTTAACACACACACACACGGGTGGAAGGTGGCGCGGGGGAGTCACGGTGAGGAGCTGAATACGTAGGCAAAGAGAGAGAGAGAGACAGCGAGAGAAAAGTATAGGTATGAATGGTGCTCAAATGATGACATGAGGATGTTGATGATGTGAATACGATGGAAGTACGTACCGAAGAAAAGAGAGAGGGAGAGGGGGGGAAGAACGCCGAGGCGATGCGGGGAATAAAGCAATTCATTGCACAATATTTTTGGTTGGCGCGTTGAAAAGAAGGCAGTAATGAACACACACAGTGTGTGTGTGTGTGTATGTGTGTGTGTATGACAAGAAGTGATGTGCACTATGATAAAAAAAATGAATGAATGAATGAGACGAAAAGCGATCACAATAATCCAAACACTTCATGATCGATCATCACATCTGTTCGACTGACGGAAACAATTGAAAGACACTAGTTGCTTTTTAGTCTTCTTTCTTACATCACTGCTACAGGATGGATCTAATCTAAAGAAATTTGAAAGAAATTACAGTTATCAAATCGAGGCATAGATTCATATATACATGCATACATACATGATAAAAGTTTCAAAAATCAAGTACTTTTACTTGCAGGGACTTGCTTGGTTGCAGGATATCATCAAGAGCTAACCATCGGTTAGAGAATTATTGGAAAATCTAGGAGTATGGAATAGCCAGTCATTTCGTCCTCATTTGGAACTCTTTAAGAATACGCACCCCCACCAGTCAAATCTACGCAAATCAACACTACCGACTGGCCTGATTCAAGTAGGTAGTTACCTGGGTTCAAGTGAGAAGTCACGACCAGTGGGGGCGGGGGGGGCCACAGGTCGGAGGATGTGAGGACAAATACTCGCCACGGATGAAACTGGCCGGTTGTCATGCTACACATCATGAAATGGCAGGAGTTGGAATTCATTGGATTGGCTGGTCATTGGATCGGGTCCCAATGATTTAATGGTCTACAGACTAGCTGTGGTCTTGTAACCAGAAGATCCCGGGTTCGAACCCCGGCGTACGTGCACTGATGAAGAGTCTCAACAGTATTACCCGCAAGTTTTCCAGTGGTTCTCTAACCGATGTCAGCTTATATGATGAAATCTTGTAACAGCGATATTAGATGATTGGAGGCAGTCGACAGGAGGTCCTAGATATGATAGAGAAGATTTGTAGCTCAGGTGGATAATTTTGATGTGGTTTTGTTCTCTGAGCTGGATGGTTAGTTTGCGAAGCTTTCATCGCCCTACTAGGTGACATCTTCAGCGAATACTTCAATTTCTCGAAGTGAGCTTTTAGATTTCTCCACGAGTTTATTAATCATCTCTCCTGGTGACCTTGGACGTGATTAGTTGTTTTTGTGTATTTTTACATCTTCTAGGTTACTTGTATTGGAACTGATTGTTTCATTGACACTTGAACTTTGACCCTTTGTGTGTGAGATATCTTTCCTTCTTATCGGTTGATAAATTTTGTCTATCTCGATGTGTCTATTGATTGATGATTCACTGGAATACCAGGTGGGCTTCTAAATATTCTCTAGCATTCTTGTTGTTTCCTCTGTCTAATATTTGATCGTTGGTTGTCCCAGTCGAATTGATGTCCGTGGTTGTCTGTATGCAGTGAGGCGTTATGAGTGAGTGAGTGGATGTCATGTCTTTTGACGGCTAGCTTATGTTCGTGGATACGAAGACGAAGGGACGTCCACTTTGGCCAATGTAGTGTTTTTCGCAGTTGTTACAGTTTATTTTGTAGATGATGTTGGTTTTGTCTTCTTTCTCTGTTGAGTCTTTTGGTTGACATAGAATTGAGTGCAGCGACTTTGTTGGTTTGTGTACGAGGTCAATTCCTAAAGGTTTGAAGAGTCTTGTAGTGATTTCTGAGATATCCTTTATATATGGTAAGGCGATTTTCTTTGTGTTTTCCTTGGTGGCTTTTGTTTTGGTAGGTTGGCTTGGGGGTATATGTCTCTTGATGAAATTCCGTGGATATCCATTCTTTTGGAAGACGTCCATGAGGTACTTTTCTTCAATCAATCAATAGACACATCGAGATAGACAAAATTTATCAACCAATAAGAAAGAAACTTCACACACAAAGGGTCAAAGTTCAAGTCACAGAAACAATCAGTTCCAACACAAGTAACCTAGAAGGTGTGAAAACACACAAAAACAACCAATCACGTCCAAGGTCACCAGGAGAGATGATTAATAAACTCGTGGAGAAACCTAAAAGCTCACTTCGAGAAATTGAAGTATTCGCTGAAGATGTCACCTAGTAGGGCGATGAAAGCTTCGCAAACTAACCATCCAGCTCAGAGAACAAAACCACATCAAAAACAGGAGGTCCTGTATAACCTAGGTTACGTGCTAGTTAGTTGGCACTCACCAGTCATCAGCAGGATTTATCCATAACCACTTTGAAAAAACTTATGTCGCGCCTCTGAGATTCTAACCTGAGTTAGCGAGTGCTGCCTACAGTCAGAGATCTTACCTTTAAGCTATTCAGGCTCATGAATGACCTCCTGCAGGACTGACTGTAATGGCCACTTTGATTAGGCATTAGGTTGAAATTAACCAGTGGTCAACATACTTGGTGCCTCATCAACACGGTCCATGCACACTGAATTGTTGTTATTAGATGGTCGGAGGCGATCGGCGTCAGAAAACCTAGGACCTAGGTTTAGTGCTTGCTGTTGATACTCACCAGTCAGAAAGGCGTAATATGGCAATGTTTGGCTGTGAAGGAAGTGCCGAGAAAATACATCGCACTGACTAAGCAACTCTACTCGAACTCATGCAGCCAGCCAGCCAATTGAGAGACTACGGAGAGTTGTCAGCTGACAACTGTGATGACAACCAGTGGTGTCCACAGTCAGGGATGCCTACGACTATCCCCATTTCTGTTTAATTTCATCATATACATGTGCGCGAATGGAATATAACCCTAACTGACGACTTCAGAGACTCAGGGAATGACTTGTTACCAGGCAGTATTCTTGTCAAAGACGCTGATAGAATCGAGCAGAGTCTTCTGACCACCTTGAGCTGAGCAGCAATCTTCGAATGTTTGGCATGTGATTCGCTGTCCCTGTCAAATGTAAGATAATGCTACGGGACTGACTGGACTACAAAGACTCTTAGCTGAAAGATGGGGAGTAAACATATAGAGCGTGTTGACCACCACTTCAATTATCTGCGAAGTTGCATCAGCCAATGCCAGTGGGCTGGTCGCTGATGAAATCTCACCACGGATAGAAAAGGTTCATGTGGCATATTCGCCAACTTAATATCCAGCTGGCTATCGATCAAAGGACACGTGTACTGTATAGCACCAGTTCGCTTCGTCCTCCTTTATGGCGGTGAGTGAGACATAGCGATTGAAATTGAAGGACATGGAAAGGTTAAACGTCTTTGATCACAAGAGTCTCCCTTCTACCATTTCCCGTGTTAGTTCGTCTAATAGGATGCGCAACACTGAGGTTAGGCGTCGGTCGAGTGCTAGGTAACAAGGAAAAATCAATCAATGAGGTTGTGAAGCCACATCAATTGAGATGGTTAGGACATGTGTTGTGCATCCCAGGCTATTGCTGAAATAGGATCAGCTTGGAAAAGAGCTAGTTAGTGGTGGTTAAACCAAAACATGGCTTCATCAGTCAGTGAAATCCACAATAGTTAGTTTAAGTGAGCCAGTCACGTAAAGAAAGTGTAGACTTCCTGAGTGGCTGGTTGGGGTCCCCGCGACGGTAAAAACCAATGACGGCTGCAGACAAGTGGTGATATGACTCAAAATTCTCGTTTTCAATGGCTGGCACAGATGCATCCACTCCTTGTGACTTATAATACCCAATAAAACTATATGATTCTTCGTTATTACTATTCCTTTTGCCTCATATCGCTGTTTACTGTCTCTAGTTTGCATTTCTTTTTACTTTCTTCTCTGGCTTTGTGTGGTACATGGAGGGAGTATGGAGATTCGAACTGCTGCACATCGGTGCAAACTTCTATGTCGAAAATAGACAGACCAAAACTTTCATCGCCCCTAACTAGGCGACATCTTAAGCGAAGACTTCGATTTGTTGAAGTGAGCTTTTAGATTTCTCCACGAGTTTATTAATCATCTCTCCTGGTGAGTGACATTGAATGTGACTGGTTGTTTTTGTGTGTTTTCACCTTCAAGAATTGACGTCTCACACAAACCAACAAAATCACTTCACTCAGCCAGCCAGCCAGCCCTGTGTCAACCAAAAGACTCAACAACGAAAGAAGATAAAACCAGCATCATCATCTACAAAATAAATTGTAACAACTGAGAAAAACACTACATTGGCCAAAAAGGACATCCCCTTTTTCTTCGCATACATGAACATAAACTAGCCGTCAAAAGACATGACATCCACCCTCGCTCATATCACTACACACAGACAACCACGTCATCGATTCGTTCAAATATTAGACAAAGGAAATAACAAGAATGCTAGGGAATTTTTAGAAGCCCACCTGCTATTCCAGTGAATCATCAATCAATTGACACATAGAGATAGACAAAATTTATCAACCGATAAGAAGGAAAGATATCTCACACACAAAGGGTCAAAGTTCAAGTGTCAATGAAACAATCAGTTCCAATACAAGTAGCTGCCTAGAAGGTGTGAAAACACACAAAAACAACCAATCACATTCAGGGTCACTCCACAAGGAGAGATGATTAATAAACTCGTAGAGATATCTAAAAGCTCACTTCGAGAAATTGAAGTATGCGCTGAAGATGTCGCCAAGTGAGTAGGGCAATGAAAGCTTCGCAAATAAACCACCATCCAGCTAGCTGAGAGAACACAACCACATCAAAAAAAAAAGTCCTACATTGAAAGCCGTCAATCAGTCAGTCAGACTCAAGGTAAACATCTATATATAGCCAAAACGAAAGAACACTCACCCATAGACAAGATATTCATAAAACCATTGTGGTACAATATGCAAAGTGAACGGTGAATTCACATGTTCAATCAATTTGACAATTTCTTCATCTAATAGACGTACACTACTGATATTATTAATTTCAGTAATATAATAATTCAACGGGCATTTATCACTTTTTGGGCTGAAATATCTTGTACGATCTAATATCATACCATCATTAATGAATAGACCACATCTTCCACGTATTTTATACAACGTTTTACTCTCTCTATATGGGCTGAAGGAAAAAAGAACAAATAGACAGACAGACATACAGACAGAGAGATAATCAAACGAAAAACTGAACTCCATTCAAAATAAAAAGTTACATAAAATGAAGGATAATACTGGTTTGAAAAGCATTAACATCCTAATCAAGTTTGAATTGCACAGACTGAATTCAATGTAAAACCAAAAGTTTATATCCTGTAAAAATGCCTCTAATATATGGAAACTTTTCAAAGAAATTACTGGTGGTAAGTAGATGAATAGTATTCCTTTACTTACAGACTGTTTCTTGACTAGTTTGGAGAAAAGTATTTTACAGCCTACTCTATCGACAGTTTCCATCTATACCAAAGATACATGGGTGATACTTCCATCATATGTGACGAAAATACCGACATCGAATTGATAACTAAGGAGTTCAACAACTGCCACCATGCCATCAAGTTCACATCGGAATAGAAGATTAACTCGGGATTCCATTTTTTGGATGTTTTTCTAAAAAGGAGATCTGATGGTTCTCTTCAAAGATCAATCTATGGATATGTTTAAGTGATACAATCGATAAGGGAACTTGGGCGACTCAGACAAGTTCTCATAGAGAATGGATATCCTCCAATTATTATCGAGGAAAACATGAAGTTAAGGGAAAAGCCTGAAACAATCCAGACGGTGCCGAAGAAACTGCCCGTTATGGGTGTTGAATTTAAAGGTGATACAGAAGCTGAGATCCTGAAGAATTGCTGCTTATGCAGATCACTGAGGAAAGCCTTCTTTATGGCTGAGCTACGTATCAATTCCTACAGCCGACAAATGATCAATGGATGTGTGAAGGATAAACTGCCTCCACTTTGGGCCATCTCAATGTGTGTTTATGGATTCACCTGCTCGTGTGGAGCTAGTTATATTGGCCGAACAAAGCGCACACACCTTCCAAACGTATCTCTGAGCATTATCCGGCATGGTTGGTTAGAAGAACGACAATGCAAGACAGTTACTAGCTCAATCCTCGAGCATTTGGTGAACTCTTGCCACGTAGCTCCACCAGAGTCGTTTTACAAGATCATCTACAAGTTCAGATCAGACGGTAGAAAGGGCGTCAGGTTACGGCTTTTGTGTGTGGCAGAGGCACTGGCAATTCATCAATACAACCTTGAACTCTGTATACAGCGGAAAACGTTTGTCCAGTCTCTTATTCTACCTTGGTCTTAACCTCTTCACTAATCGTTCCCTGTAAAACATTTTGATTTTTTTTTGTTTTCAATTTTACTTTTAATTTGCTTTTGCTTTAATAATTAATTCACTGTTATGTCACTCTCATATGCTCCTTTTGCATGTTTTCACACTCTCTTCACACTTGTTAAATTGACACTTAAATACCACCTTTATTCTCATTCAAGAGCAATTTTAACCTTATCAAACTTCTATCTTTGTGCCGTTGAGTACCATGTAATTTACAACTTTTAATTTTCACTTCTAAAGCCACTTATGAGTAATTATATCAGTTATGTCACCCTGTTCACCTATTACTCAATAGTAAACTACTATATATTTTTGTAAGTATAAATAAGACTGTACAGCCTCTGAAGGTGATTTCGTCGATAAAGAAAATTTTCTTCGCTGAATCTGTCTTTTATTTTATTCCTTATTCCTTTGATGTTTGTACACTAAACATGTCTTTTATACATTTATTTTATTTTTTTTATTTATTCTCCCACAAATGCCAAACTTTCTGGTGTTACAAGTGATAGGATCCCACATATTTTGGTATTGACTGTTTAAACTTGTATATATGGTATATTATCATTCTCACACATTTTGGTAGTGACTGCTAATTTTGTATATATGGTACATTATCATTCTCACACATTTTGGTAGTGACTGCTAATTTTGTATATATGGTATATTATCATTCCCACACATTTTGTTACTGACTGTCAACCTCGCACATATGGTATATTATCATCTCTCACGCACTTTGATATTGGCTATTAAGATCATTTATTTCAAATGCTGTTAGCTGTCCATATTGTTGTAAAATGTATAAATACCATGGTTTTCTTTATCGTTGTTGCACTTCAATACACAGTCACAGTCCAGCCTTTGTCTTTTGATATTTGCGTGCTTTACTAAATCGGAAGGTTCGACAAGCAGATAGGCAGATTAGTTCAGGCGCAAACAGAGCAAGGTGAAAACGTCTTCATTCAATCCCCTACAGTTATAACAACAAGTGTTAATGAAACCTGCTTTCCCTGATTTAAATACAAATGATATTCTAAAATGTCTCCAGTCACTGAACCCTTCTTGTAGCCTAGGTTCAGATGGTTTGCCTAGTGTTATTCTTAAAAAGTGTGTAGATATCCTGGACATCTCATGGACATATTTAATGAATCTTTTTCCAGAAATGTCGTGCCAGGCGTTTGGAAGGACATTAAAATTGTTCCTATAGCTAAGTCATTTACTGGAATATGTTTTAAATTTAGACCTATTGCTATTACGTCTCTTTTCTAAAAGCTATGGAAAAGTTACTCTTACTTAACCTTCAACCTTCACTTAAAGCCTTCAACGATCCCAAACAATTCGCTTATAAACACAGCAGAAGTACTTTAGATGCAGTTGCAGTCTTGTATCATAACATTGTCTCCAGCTTAGACAAGGCGGCTAAATTTGTTCGTTGCACCTTCCTAGAATACACATCTGCTTTCGACTCAGTGCCTAGGGATATTTTGTTAAACAAGCTTGCTGAAACTCAAACTGACTGTTGGGTTGTCAGATGGCTGCATTCTTGTTTCTCAGGAAGAAAGCAGTCCACTGTATGTCAGGGAAAGTTGTCCAATTCGTTGCTTACTGAGGCTGGTGTCCCTCAAGGCGCTGTCCTTTCTTCTTACATGACTTGCCTCACTCTGATGAAATGAACTTTGTTAAGTCTGCCATTGATATAACTATTTCAATGTCGATTAACTAAAGCCAGCTAGACTGTGCTAAGGCGGCTAAATTTGTTCGTCGCACCTTCCTAGATTACATATCTGGTTTCGACTCAGTAACTAGGGATATTTTGTTAAACAAGCTTGCTGAAACTCAAACTGACTGTTGGGTTGTCAGATGGCTGCACTCTTGTTTCTCAGGAAGAAAGCAGTCCACTGTATGTCAGGGAAAGTTGTCCAATTCGTTGCTTACTGAGGCTGGTGTCCCTCAAGGCACTGTCCTTTCTTCTTACATGACTTGCCTCACTCTGATGAAATGAACTTTGTTAAGTCTGCCGTTGATCTAACTATTTCAATGTCGATTAACTAAAGCCAGCTAGACTGTGCTAAGATGAACAGCTCTCTCTATCAGGAGTTGGCAAATGGTCTTCATTTAATGGCCTTAAACTGAATCCTTCCAAATGTCAGACTGTTAATTCCAGTTTCCGATGTAAAAGAAAGTTAAATGAAGTTGTTGGTTTCTATGACCGTTGCAAAATTGATGATACTGATATAGAAACCAAGTCTGGAGTTAAGTATCTTGGATTAATTCTTTCTACTGACCCATCCTGGTCTTCCCACGTCTTAGCGATTTCTAAAAGAATATTTCGTCTGACCTTTTACTTTAAAAAGTTAAGGCACTCAGGCATAACCCAATCCCTCCTCCCCTTACAGTTTATCAACTCGTGCATCTTACCTATTCTTCTTTACTGTTCACCCTTATTCTTTCCCGGATTTCTTAAAAAAGACTATGTCATACTTCGTAGAACTCTGAAGACTGTCGGTCAGTAGGGCGAGTAGTATCCCATTGGGCCATGTCGTTGACATTGTCACAGATAGGCACTTGATGTCATATAACAAATTTGCTAAAGGAATTTTGTCAGACTGTGAGCACCCACTCTACCCGCAGCTCCAACCTTGTGTCGCCTCCTCAGGTAAAACAAGAAGTCTTTTCAGAAGAATTTACGCACGTACATCTAAGTATAAAAATTCCACTATACCATATTTAGCGGCACGTATTTTATGTGATGAAAATGGTGTCAGGCATGAACTAACTAACTAACCTTCTTTGCACTACTAAATAAACCATTTTCCACCATCCTTACAACATCAAACTTGACTGTTATTGTATTTCTTATATTTATAATCCTCTCAATTTTTTGTTTTTATTTATTTATTTTTCATAAGTGTGAAGATCATTTGAGCCGTGTAGTAACTGTTAATTTTGTAGTTCCCCTCACTTAACTACATCAACAGAACATTAAATTCAATATTCTATAGTAACATGCTAAAATTTTCAAACTGAATCGACAATACTGTTTGAAACAAACTCACTGTTATTATTATTATTAATATCAATGACGTCATAATATTAGAAGATGGTGAATCGATCTGAAATAATATATGATCCATTTTTGCAATACAATTCGCACGATCTCATCATACACCCACGCACATATACTTGTGATGTCAGTTTATATGAAAAGTAAGGGGCCGATGAAAATAAACAATTTGCTTATAAACAAATAATACGTGCATAAAAATTCCAGACCTCACGTGTCATGAACTTCCTGGAATCATCATTTGGTCGCCGAATTGGATTGATTCATTTATAAATTATTGAAGTTTCACTTCATGCAGCTGACTTGAAACTAGTTTTTACCAGCCAAAACATGATTAGAGAATGCGTCAAGGGTAGATTACCGCTTATGTCCACATCTATGTGCATTTACTCTTTTACCTGCTCTTGTGGAGCTGATTATATTGGACGTTGTTAGCGTACACTCCGAAAATGTGTAGCTGAACACTATCCGGTTTGGTTAATGTGAAAGGCGAATGTAGAACTGCAAAGTCGTCTATTTGTGATCACCTGTTAGAGTCTCGTCATTTAGCCCCACGTGATTCATCCTTCAAAGTTATCCAGATGGCAAAATCGAATCGATCCAAAAGTTTAGGTTTTTCTCCACTTATGCATAGCCGAAGCTTTAGGTATACATGAACAGAAACCTAAATTATGTGTCAAACCCCCTTCTTTACCTTGGTCATAATA